GGTGTACAGGCCCTCCGCAATCTTCTTGCTGATATGGGCCGGGTCAATGTACCTGGCAGCCGACGCAGTCGCGCAGCGAAGAGGGGCTGCAAGGGGCGCTCAAGGAGAGAAGGGGGGAGAAAGAGAGAGGGAGAGAGAGAGAGATTTGTCGCTGAGTCTTCTCTGCAGCCTGATACGGGAGCCTGCCTCTGCGGGGGGGGCACGGCAGCCACAGAGTGAGAAATGGAGAGAGAGAGAGAGAAGGGAGAGAGAGAGAGAGAGAGATAGAAAAAAGGGGTCAATAAAGAGAGAGAGAGAGAGAGAGTGAGAGAGAGAGAGCCATCGCGGAGCATTCTCTACAATTCTGCACGGGAGCGTGCCTCTGCGGGGAAGCACATCCGCAACAGAGGCCGGGAGGAAGACAGAGAGCGCACCGGCTCGAAGACCGTCTGTCCAGGCCCGCGGGATGCCAGGCCCCCGCCGGGCCAGCCTCGAAGGGCGGGAGGTGCCGCAGGGGTGGGACGGCGACCCTCCTCCTCCTCCTCCTCCACCTCCTCCTCCTTCTCCTCCTCCTCCTCCTCCTCCTCCTCCTCAGTCTCCTCCTCTACCATCCTCCTCCTCCTCCTCTACCTCCTCCTCCTCCTCCTCCTCCTCCTCCTCCTCCTCCTCCGCCTCCTCCGCCTCCTCCTCCTCTTCATCTTCCTTCTCCTCCTCCGCGGTCTGTGGGGACCCAGGCTGCGTGGAAGTCAGCAAGAAGGGGCCGTGGTGAGGAGGGCGAGGCGCACCCCTCCGGCACTCCCGCAGGCCGAGAGGCGCGGGCCGGGCAACCCCGGCGTGGTACGGCGGCCAGGGCAACGGAGGCGCCACCTTGAGGTCGGGCATGTCCCCCTACAGACGGATGTTGGGCGAAAAGCCGAAAATACTCGAAACATGCTCGACAAAAACCCAAAAATACTTTAAGCAAATCGCCCCCGTACTACCTTTTGGCTATTTGTAGATAGTCCTCCTGCAATGAGAAAGACACACCCGACTTAACGCCACCTTGGGTCATCCCCCGCGGCGGCGCGTCAAGAGGGCAACAGAACATGAGCCAGCTGTTCGCGGAGCCCAATGGGAGAGAGGAGGCACGAGCACTGGTGTGCCGCGCGCTGAGCAGCAAGGCTTAGGTCGGGCATGTCCTCCTGCAGGGGGATTCTGGATGAAAAAAACATCGTCAACAAATACTCAAAAATAGTCATCAAAAATAATTGAAAAATCGTCCCCATACTATTTTTGACTATTTTGACTATTCCCCCTGCAGAGGGACAGGCCCGACTTAAAGCAAGCCGTGCCTGGAGGCATCCCTGGAGGGACGCCCAAAGAGAATCAGCAGGTCGGAAAGCCTGCTGAAGGCCGTCCCGGGCAGCTTGTGCTCGGTGAAACCTGTCCAGCAGCGTGGCAGGCTCTTCCTCGATGTGCTCCAGAGATTGTGGGCTAGGTGATTCGCCCGTTGCTGGCGCACGCTGGCGTAGGCGGCGAGGACCGCTTCGCCATCACCCTCTGGCTGTCGTCAGGCCGCTGCGAGAGGAGGAGGAGGTAGGAGGAGGAGGAGGAGGAGGAGGAGGAGGAGGAGGAGGAGCAGGAGGGAGGGAGGAGGAGGAGGAGAAGGAGGAGGAGAAGGACGAGGAGGAGGAGGAAGGTGCTGCGTAAATGAATGCCTTCGGTCCGTTCGCGGGGTCCCCGTCACATCGGGGCCTGCTTCGTCGTTGGTTACTGGCCGTTCACTGCTCCCCGCACCCTGTCTTAACTACAGACAGATGTTGGGCGAAGCATTGAAAATACCAGCAACAATCCCCCAATTAGTCAAACAATACCACAAAACATTCCCTGACTATTCTTTGACTAGGTTTTAATATTTCTGCTGTAGAGGCACACGCCAAACTTACCCTGATGGGAGGAGGAGTGGCCTGGTGGCGAGGGAGGCTGGCAATGGCGTCCTGATCCTATTGACCGTGGACGGCTTGCACCTGCCCGTTGGGAAGTCTGCGTTTGCACGCGTCGTTGTCATCGCCGTGGTCGCTGCGTCCGTCACGTCTTTGCTGTGACTTTGGGAGGGGAAACATCGTTTCCTTCATCTTCGTTCAGGGAGGCGCATAGCTCGAGCGGGTCTTGTCCCTCGCCGTCGAAGTCATCGAGCAGGCCCGCCAATGGATCATCGAGGTGATCTGAGTAGTCGGACCCTGGTGGGCCGTCGAGATGGGCGGGGCCGCGTTGTGAGTTTGGGCTTCATCTTGCTGAGTTCAGCCCTTGAATGGCCAGCCCTTCTGTCTGTCAGGAGGAGCGACTGGTGACGCCGGTCAAAGAAACCGCGACAGCAGTGCAGTTGAGCACGGCAGCGAAGTTGTGCCGCCAGTTCGCGGTGGGGTCAGTGAAGGTGACGAGGGCAGGGCAGAGAACGACGAGGGGCTGCAGCCCGAAAAGCACACTCACAACGCGCGCTTCGTGCTTGGCTGGCATGAATGGTCCTCCCCCGAGGCTGGAACGAGAAGAGGGCTGGAAAGCAGGAGGGGAGCGCAGGGAGGGAGGATCATGCAGCAGGAGAGGAAGGATGGAGGGCAAGGAGGGAGTGGCAGAGAAGGGGAGGTGGGGGGGGGGGGAAGAGGCGCGGGGGGGGGGGGCGGGGGGGCGGACGAGAGGAGGGGCGAGGAAGGGGAGGAGAGGAGCTCGGGGAGCGGGGGCCGAGGCTGGCAAGAGAGAGAAGGAGAAAAGGAGGGGATGAGGAGGGGGGGGAAGAGAGGGGGATGAGGAGGAGGGGGAGGGGGTGAAATGAGGGGGAGGGGGAAAGGGGGGAAGGGCGGAGGGGAAGGGGAAGGGGGAGGGGGGGGAGGGGGGTACGAGGATGAAGGGGAGAGGCGGAGGGGGGAGTGGGGATGAGATGCGGGGGGAAGGGGGGGGGCTTAGGCGAGGGGGGGGGACCGAGCTGCAGCAGAGCGGAAGAGAACGGAGGGGAGGGCATTGCGGGGACACCGGTCAACGCTGGACGCGAAGAGAGAAGGGAGGTCTTGGGCTGTCGCTGGCCCATCTCAGCCTCAGGTCGGGCATGTCCCCCTGCGGGCAGGTTTCGGACGGAAAATAAGCAATAGTCAAAACAATACTCCCAAATGGTCGAAGAGTTCTCAGACCATACGCAAAACATATCATAAAAGGGTCAACACATAACAGATAATCAACACATACTGAACATTGGTCAAACTAATACTCAACACATCGTCCCCAGACTATTTGTCCCACCCCTCCTGTGGTGTTAGGTACTCGTTTTGAATAAAGCAGTGTGGTCTCCTCCTCCTCCTCCTCCTCTCCTCCTCTCCTTCTTCTCTCCTGTCTCCTGTGTTCCCTTCTCCTCTTCTCTCCTGACGTCAACAATCTGCGCAACTGTCGCCACTTTCGTGGGCTCCTGGGAGGCCCAGCGGAGGTACGTCATACGCGGACCACCTCGAAACCTCGCCGACCTCCGGGGGGGGCTTGCGATCTGCGCAACTGTCGCCACTTTCGTGGGCTCCTGAGAGGCCCAGCGGAGGTACGTCTTAATCGGAGCACCTCGGGACCTCGCCGCCCCCGGGGGGTCTTGCGATCTGCGCAACTGTCGCCACTTTCGTGGGCTCCTGAGAGGCCCAGCGGAGGTACGTCATACGCGGACCACCTCGAGACCTCGCCGCCCCCCGGGGGGGTCTTGCGATCTGCGCAACTGTCGCCACTTTCGTGGGCTCCTGGGAGGCCCAGCGGAGGTACGTCATACGCGGACCACCTCGGGACCTCGCCGCCCCATGGGGGGCTTGCGATCTGCGCAACTGTCGCCACTTTCGTAGGCTCCTGGGAGGCCCAGCGGAGGTACGTCATACGCGAACCACCTCGGGACCTCGCCGCCCCTTGGGGGGCTTGCGATCTGCGCAACTGTCGCCACTTTCGTGGGCTCCTGGGAGGCCCAGCTGAGGTACGTCTTATGCGGACCACCTCGGGACCTCGCCGCCCCCTTGGGGGGCTTGCGATCTGCGCAACTGTCGCCACTTTCGTGGGCTCCTGGGAGGCCCAGCGGAGGTACGTCATACGCGGACCACCTCGAGACCTCGCCGCCCCCCGGGGGGGTCTGGCGATCTGCGCAACTGTCGCCACTTTCGTGGGCTCCTGAGAGGCCCAGCGGAGGTACGTCATACGCGGACCACCTCGAGACCTCGCCGCCCCCGGGGGGGCTTGCGATCTGCGCAACTGTCGCCACTTTCGTGGGCTCCTGGGAGGCCCAGCGGAGGTACGTCATACGCGGACCACCTCGGGACCTCGCCGCCCTCCGGGGGGGTCTTGCGATCTGCGCAACTGTCGCCACTTTCGTGGGCTCCTGGGAGGCCCAGCGGAGAACCGTCTTAATCGGAGCACCTCGGGACCTCGCCGACCTCCGGGGGGGTCTTGCGATCTGCGCAACTGTCGCCACTTTCGTGGGCTCCTGGGAGGCCCAGCGGAGGTACGTCATACGGGACCACCTCGAGACCTCGCCGCCCCCGGGGGGGCTTGCGATCTGCGCAACTGTCGCCACTTTCGTGGGCTCCTGGGAGGCCCAGCGGAGGTACGTCATACGCGCCCTTTTGTGTTCACTTGTTGGGCGCGTTTCTTTCAACGCCCCTTTGTTTCCATTTTGTATATTTGCCGTTCCTCTTCTTGCTGCGCTCTTCTGAAATCACTGCTGGGTGCTCTTCTTGCGCACTGCGTGTCCTTCAGAATGCCAGTCAGCATTGAGTGGTCCTGAGTATAATCGCCACATGTATAGAGAAAGGGTTGGGTACGTCACAGGGTAATTCAACTGTTTTTGAACACTCCTCGTGTGGAGGGCCTTGCCCGACTTAACCTCAGCCGCCCTCAGGGTCTCTTCGGGCCGCCGTGGAACCGTTCCGGGCCGCCCGTGACCCTCCCGGGGCGCTTGGAGCTCCGCCTCCTGGGCCGCGAGCCAGTGTGCGCACCACGGGCCACCGTTGTACGCACAGTGAACCGACTTCGCTACGGCACGGCTGCATGCGCGCATTGAGCGCAACGCCCGTCCTCACCGTTGGGCCGGGGCCTTCCGCTGGGGCTGCAAGGGGGAGCCTCGGCAACACCGAGCCCCCTGCAGAGCAGCAGGTGCTCCTTCTTTCGACGCCCAGCCTGGGAGGAAGAGAGGAGGAGGAGGAGGACGAGGAGGAGGAGGAGAAGACGAAGGAGAACGAGAGGCGAGAGTCATCAGTTGGTTGGGACTCCAACTGAGAATGGCAAGGGGCGCTTCCTGTTGAGGCCGTCGCAAAGAGCGTCGATCCGCCTCGCAATCTTGCCCAGGTCTGTGGCCTCGCAACGGTGAGAGGAGGGGCAGGGTGAGCAGGGAAAGGGGGAGGGAGGGGAAGGATGATGGCTGGGGGGCGAGGGGAAGGGGTCAGAGATGGAGGAGGAGGAGGAGGAGGAAGAAGAGGAGGATGAGGAGGATGAGGAGAAGGAGAAAGAAGAGGAGGACGAGGACGAGAGCAAGAATGAGGACGACGACAAGGACAACGACGAGGACGAGGACGAGGAAGAGGACGAGGACGACGACGATGGCGTCGTCGCCAGAGGCCCAGAGGAGCTACGTAAAAAAAGCGAAAGCCGTCCGAGAACCTCCAGCATAGACCTCCGAAAGCCCCCCCCTTCGGATGCTGCCAGCGGGGGCCGTTGCCCACGGTGGCCCCGAGCTCTTCCAGGGAAGCTCAGAACTCCTCCTCCTCCCCTCCTCCTCCTCCTTCCCCTCCTCCTCCCTCCTCCAGCCTCCTCCCCTCCTCCCCCTCCCCCTCCCTCCTCCTCCTCCTCCTCCTCTCCTTCTCCTCCTCCCCCCCTGCTTCTCCTCCTCCTCCTCCTCCTCCTCCTCCTCCTCCTCCTCCTCCTCCTCCTCCTCCTCCTCCTCCAGCGTCCAGAGCATGCGCCACCAGGCCCAGGAGGGCCCAGGGGGGGCCCAAATGGCACGAAGAGCTGGGGACACCCTGGGCCAGGAGTACACCTCGGTGAAGGCCTCCCAAGAACGAATCGGAGCACGTGGTGTCGGAGGATCGCGCCGCATCGTCGACGCATCGGCGTCGTCGATGTGAAGAAACTCGCGCTCCGGAGCGCCCCGCATCGTCGATGCGTCGGCGACGTGTCGCGGTCCCCCGACTCATGGGAGGCCTGGCCCCTGGCAGCCTCCAGACGCCCGGCTGAGAGGCCCAGACTCGGAGGCTGCCAGAGTCCAGGCCAGACTCCAGCGTTGGCAGCGCGCAGAAGGGGGGCATGGGGCAGGGCGGAGGGCTTCTTAGAAGGAGGCCGCTGCTTAGACGGCGCGGGCCCTGCATCTGCAGGCCAGGCCCGCGCCTCCTAAGAAGCGGGGGTGCTTCCAAGAAGTCCTCCCCTCTCCCCCTGACCCCCCTTTTGCGCGTGGCCAACAGTTGAGCAGGGACCGACCGTCCCGGCATTCCTAGAGACCTACCACGACATGCTCTTAGAACCCAAAAATGTCTTCATAACAAGAACATAAGCCCGATGTGTCAAAACAAGACAGTCCCAGCCAGAACTGTTCTAGAAACATTTCGTGGAAACCACAAAAGGTTCTTAGAACCTTGTTTGGTAGGCCTATAGGCCCGCCAGGACGCTTCGCCACTGCTTGACAACCTCCGCCTGGGAGGCCCGGACTCGGAGGCTGCCCATAGCCCCGGCGGGGCTCTGCCGGACTCTCCGACGCCCCCTGGCGCGCAGGGGGGCCGGCCTGCGACAGCCCGCTGCGCTTGACGACGGTCGTCTCTGCCGCCATTGCTGCCCGGGGAGCGGGCGCGGGCGCGCGGCGAGCGGGCGGAGCTCTGGCGAGGGCCGCCCGGCGCCGGCGCCGACGGCCGCCGAGAGGCCGCCAGAGCGTCCTCTTCTCAGGAGGGCCCTCGCGGGGCCCCACGAAGGCCCTCCTCCGCTTTCTCCTCCTCCTCCTCCTCCTCCTCCTCCTCCTCCGCCGCCGCCGCCGCCGCCGCCATCGCCTCCTCCGCGGCCGCCGCCTCCGCCTCCTCCTCCTCTTCCGCCTCGTCCATCTCCTCCGCCGCCGCCGCCTCCTCGGGCTTCCCCCTCCTGCTCCGCAGGGATTGCCCGACTCGAGGGTGGCCCGGGTCTGCTAGGGGCCTCCTCAGGAGCCGCTCGGTGCGATAAACTCTTGGCAGTTGCATGGTCGCCTCGAGCGCGATGAATAGACGTGCTCCGAATGCCACGTGACTGACCGCTGGGGTACTACACCTGACCGCTGGGGTACTACACAGAAAGGCTACTGGTGCAGGAAGCACCGGCCACCTCTTTGAGAAAGTCTGCACAGAGAAGGCTGAGGCGGTGCCAGAGGAAATGGATGACGCGAGCGCCTCAGATGAGGCCACGTCTGACAGTGGGGCACAAGCTGGAGATCTACCGCGCTCGACTCAGAGATCTCCAGAAGCTCGCCTGGGAGCCAAGCATGGAGTTCGCGCCAGATGTCATGTCCAAGCTTCACGAGAAAATCTACGTGATGGTGGCAGAGAAGGAGGCTTCCCTCCCCGAGTGCTATGCTGAAGTGGCAGTGCGCCGACGACTGCGGCAGGCAGAGAAGTTACAGAGACAGCGGACACCTACGTGGAGAAGCTGCGAAAGGACAGGGGGAGCTGGATACCCAGCTCAAGAGTGCGGAGACCAAAGCGGCCAGTATCCAAATGGTATCGGCGATCAAGGAGAAGGGAGATCAGCTGACGAGGCCGTCCACAGGCCAAGGCTGGGAGTGACTACGTGACAAGCCCCCCCCAGTACTGGTCCCGGCCCCCCCCTGGGAAAAACGAAAACGGACCTCCCTGACCAGGGCGCGGGAAAGAAACCTGAGACGAGGAGCGGTGGGCGGAAATGCGAGGCAAACGCCGCACCTGAGCGCTCGAGAATTTGGCTCGGAGGAAGATGAGGAGGAGGAGGGAGAAGGAGAGGAGGAAGAGGAAGAGAAGGAGGAGGAGGAGTCAAGGTCGGAGGGGGAAGAAGGAGGAGAAAAGAGAGGAAGGAATTGGTGGATGACAAGCTAGACGGAAACAAGAAAATGAGCGGGCGGGCAGCAGCGCCCGAAAGCGAGCCCGAATCTTTTCACCTACCTGAGGCTGGGCATCCCAGCGTCGCTCGCACGAGCTCGAAGCCTTGGGCATCGGGCGCAAGCTGGAGGTGAGAAGGTTGAGGTAGGTTGGAAAATCGAGGAGAGAGACAGAGAGAGATAGTAGAAGCACCGACGGCCACGGCGCAGCAGCGGCGAGGAGGAGCGTCAGTCATCGCTGTCATCGTCATCATCCCCCTCCGATCCCGCGCCCCCCTATCCCCCCTCATCGTCCTCATCGGGCCTGCCAGAGGCCCGCCAATGGGGCCCCCGATCGCTCGCTGCTGCACTCTGCCGCCTACGCGCCCGCCCTTCCTAGTCGGATGCTCGCGCGCCCTAGCTAGTCAGACGCCGTCTTGGCCTTCTTGCCGCTGCCAGCTGGACCACCACCTGAGAAGTTGCGCTTGGGCTGACGCTGCGCTTTGAGCTGCTCGATCTCGCGCTTCTGATCTTGGATCGTCTGGTTCGCGTATGCGAGATCGGCGTTCATCGAGTCGATCGTCATTTGCAACTCGAGGCAGCGCAGCTCGGACTGATCGTACCACTTCGCGAGGTTCTCGTTGCGCTCACGCTGGGTCTGCGTCGCCTTCGATCGGATCGGCAATGCAGACCCCCCTCGCAACGGGCCCGTCCAGGGCCCCTCCGAGGCCGCTCCAGCCCCATGATTCGAGCCGCGCCCAGCCGTGGCGACGACGCCGCCGATGCACCACGTGCTTCCAAAAGAGAGCCCCCGATCGCCGTCTTGAGTGCAGCGATCGCCACATCGATGTCCTTCATGACGGCCGAACTCATTGAGTACTCCCATGCTGGGAATCCCGTGGCCATACTGGGGACGCGCGGGGGGGCGGCAATCCCTTTTGGAGGCCTCAATGCTGCGACGGCGCCGCCGACTCATCGTCATCATCACGCTGCCCGTCGCTCTGGACTTCCCTCCTCGCCCTCAGCCTCGCCCTCTTTCCTCTGCTGCCGCCCCCCCTCCATCCCCCCCCCTCCTCGGCTGTCACCCCGCCGCCTCCATCGTGCCCCATCCTGCCGCCCACGTCGCAAACCCCCACCCCTCGGCAAGAACAGCACCACCCCTTGACAACGCATCGGGCACTGAAGACACAGAAAACGCACGGGGAAACGCTCGGGCGAACACTCTAAGCACTCAAAGTACACTAAGCCTTGTGCGCTCCCCCATCGGGCCTCGGGCACGCAGGCGTTTTCGAATGCCGACGGGGCTCTGAACGCCCGATCCGATCACTTCCCTGCACGACGGCCGCCAGAGCGCACGCGCTCCCCCGAGCGACAACGCAACGTCAGACCACCGTGTCATCCCCGACCCCCGCGCTGGCGCCAGCACACCTAGACCTTCTTGTTAATCCTCGAGGCGTCATCCTGGCTCTGCAGCCGCTTGCGCTTGCTGGAGTTCTCGGGGTCCTTCGGGCGGGAGGCGGGGCGGGGGAGGCGGCAGTGTCCTCCCCTTACCCCTCGCGACTAAACCAGATCCCCAAACCCATGCCCTTCCTCTACCCCCTCCCCGACCCGCTACCCCCATCCCCCCCCCCCCCCCCCCCCCCCCCCCAAGTCCCACAGTCCACGTGTCCTGACCGCCCCCCCCCCCCCCCCCCCCCCCCCCCCCCCCCCCCCCCCCCGCCCCCCCTCATGCACTCTGGCCCTCGCCTCCCCCCCCCACACAAACGCCCCCGCTCGCGGCTCCCAGCGCCCCCTCAACCTGCTCTGAGTCAAGGCGGTCCTTGGGGTTGCTCTTGGACACCGCCAGCGCGCGGGGGACCTGAACGTCGACCTCCCCTTGGATCACATGCTGGATGCTCGCCTCCACCCACGACTCCGTCAACCCGAGCAGGCTGTTGATCACTTCCATGCAGCAGTCGCGCTTGATCACGTGCCTGAGCCTCATCATCTCCTTCGGCGCCCACTCCAGCAACGCCCACTTCACGTCGGCAAGCAAACCGTTCAGGTGCATCACTCTGACGGCGGCCCCATGGGTCGACATCCCTTTGACCACCATCAGGTCCCAGCAGCCCTCATCAGCGGCTTTGAACTGCTCAGTCTTGCCGTTCCGCGGGAAATATACTGGAATACTTCGGGTTGGCCACCAGCCCGATTCGCACCACCCCGTGACTGAATTATTTGGGCCGTAGCCCAACTCGGAGCCCCACAACATGATGGCGGTCCACTCCATGATCGTGTCGCGGTCGGGAACCACCGTGAGGCCGAGGCGGCCCTTCCCCCCGTCGATGTCCCCGTAGTCGGAGCTCTCGAAGTCGGGGCCCCGCACGACGCACTGGCCGTAGTCGTAGGGCTGGCACAACCTCAGCCTGCCCTTGGAGTAGAAGTCCTCGGAGCGGGCGGCGAGGCGCACTAGAGGTAACACATCGAGCAGCAACGAGCAACTGTCGCCCGACGCGCGGGGGCGGGGCAGAAGCGAGCGGGGCGGGGGAAGGGCGGGCGGGGATAGCAAGGCGGAAAACTGTCAACTACCATCACCGCCCACACTAAGCCCAAACATGAACGCATGGCCGACGCGCACACCTGAAACCATGGTGCGGAACCAACCACGCCATGCGCTAACCGATTGCCCATGTCTAAGCAACTGATTACCCCCGTACCTCCGTGCAAAGGCCGTTCACCACTAACGAAAATAAAGGCACTAGCACATATTGCATAAAGGCAATCCTCGATGTCGATAACGTCGGACGTGCCGATGGGCAGGAAGTAGGCCATAGCGCGCGGCGCTAGCCGCTCTTTATCAAGTTGGAAAGGGCGGCCAACAAACCAACCGTTCTCTGAGCAATGGAGGCGAATCGAAAAAAACCTGAATGCCATGTCAGCTCGGCTTGCGCCCAGACGAATCGGCGATCAAACAAATGCACACGCGACCCCGCCTGCAACGCGCACACGTGCCAAACCTCACCTGCAATACATACACACATGTCAAACGAGTGCTACCCGCCAGTCAATGGAGGTGGAGGGTCGAAGCATTTCCATCGCTCGGAGTAGCCCTGTCCGAGCAATATCACCACTGTGCACGGGTCGCACGCGCGCCCGATGCGACGCTGGCTGCAGGGCAGTCTGCGCGCGCCCGCGCACACGCAACGCAAGCCGACGGGCGAGGAGGCGGGCAAGCAGCCGCCCCCCGCCAAAAAAAAACTGCGAAGGTCTTCACCATCCAAACTCTCTGCTCCACTCCATCCGTGCCCCCATCCTGCCCCTAAGCACCCGCTGCGACCCCGCCCATGCCACCCCCTTTCTCCTAGCCGCATCGGCGGCCCCCCATCCCGCACCAACCCGACCCGCATGCATTAGTTAATGATACCCATCCCTGCGCCCCTCCCATCCGACTGTCGACCGCACTTCCCCGCGCCCCGTCCCGTGAGCACTACGCACCCCATCCTCGCACCTCCTCCTGTCCAACCTCCTCCCGTTGACCTTCCCCCGAGTCGGGCCCGTGCACGGGCCCGTCGCCGTCGGCGCGCTTGCCCCCGTGCGGGGCCACGCTGGAGCGGGCTACGCCTTAGGCGTGAACAGCCCCGCAATCGGGCAATGCGCCAGAGGCAAATTGTGGTGTTCGAGGAATCGCTCCCAACACCGCCTCGAACAGTCAAGCATTGCCCTCGCAGAATCCCCCCCGAACCGACTCCATGGCGCGGAGCCTTTGAACTTCAAAAGGGGCATGTGATACCTCCTGGCCCCAGCGGCGTTGGCACGCCAAATGTATGCCCCAGGAGGCATGTAACCCCGAGCATCTTTCTGGGGCAAATCATTCAAAACTTCGGGGAGCTTGGGAAACTTCAAACCGTGCAAAGGGTGATCCTTACTGTTGAGCGCGGGCGCCTTCCCCTTCACCTTGACCTTATGCAGCCCAGGCCAGCGCCCGCAACGAGCCACTCTCACGCGGCTGACCGCAATGCTCCGCGCGATACGGGAAGGGGCAACGGGGGGCGGGGGCGAGGGTGACGAAACAAACCAAGATCACACAACAGATTCGGGCGCATGGCGACACGGCAACGCGCAGGCAAAGCTGTCCAAGGAGGGTGAACGAGGCAAGGGTAGAAGGCGGGCAGCGACGGAAGGGAGGGGTGGGGGGAACCAGAGGGGCATGTCAATAGCGAAGGGGCGGATGGGCGGGCGATCAACGACGGGGAAGGAGCGGAGGGGCAGCGAGGGGGAGGCAAACAGCGACGACACTAAACAATTGACCCAGGCGCCACCAAGCCCCGAGCCTTGAAGACGCTGACCTCGTTGCTGAAGTCAGCGCGCGAGGCCTTGTGGGACTTGGCGGACTTCGCCTGGTCGACGATCTCCTGCGCAGTCGCAGCGTCCAGGCAGTCTGCCACCCACTCCAGGTCGATCAGCTCCTCGAACCCTTCGTCGGCGTCGAACGTGCCGAGCCTCAACTCCAAAATCTGGAGCAGGTCTTCATCGGTCACCCCCACTATCAGGTTCTTGCACAGGCACATCAATAGAGACGCCAACGTCGTGTTCTCGTACTCGTACTCTCTGAAATCCGCTAGCTCTTTCAGCCAGCTCACCGATAGAGACCAAAACGCACATCTGGCAGCGGTCTCGAGAAGGGGCCGCGGTGTGTCGGCGGGGGCCGCCGCGATGAAGAGGTCCCCGTACGTGGACGCTTCCTGGCACGCGCGCGGCCCGGCGGCAGGGGGGGAGGCCGGGGGGGGGTGGGGGGGGGGAAGGGGGGGGGGCGGACGGGGGGCGACGGCGAGGTGAGGGAGCGGAGAAGAACGGGCGGGAGAAGGGGGGGATGAGGCGGCATGAGGGAGGAGGAGGATGGGGGGAGGCGAGGGGGATCAGGAGGAGGGGGCACGCGACAGGCGTCAGAGGGAGGACGAGGAGGACGAGGAAGGAGGAGGATGGGGATGGGGGGAGGCGGACGCGTAGGAGGAGGAGGAGGCGGAGGCTGAGGAGGATGAGGATGCGAAGGATGAAAGGGGCTACGCTGCGAAGAAGCACGCATGCGCGGCCTTCAGGTGCACTGGAGTGGCGACCCCCTTCTCACCCTCAAGCTTGGAATACTCAATATCAATGGCCTGGCGCATGGGGGACTTCCAAAGAATCGGAACTGCCTCCCATTCAGACGGTTCAAGCACAACATGAAGTTGGCGCGCTTGGTAGCTGTCCGCGACGTGCAGGTTCGGCGCGACGAGCTTGGCTGGCCACGTCGCCGCAAGACCTGTGCCCAAAGAACCCATGCCAAACAGCCAATCGTGAGTCCCCACCTTCCGAAGAAGGATGTTTTTGTTCACGAGCTGCGCGTAGAACTGCCTATCCAGAATGCCCATCCGTCCTTGCTGATGCGCCTGTCTGCAAACCTCGAGGTCCACCAGCGGGTCCGTCATGCCAGACGCGGTGGGGGAGTGCCACGCTGCATCAGCACATGTGGCCACCCTGTGGATGCCGAGCTGGCGGGTAAGGTCGCCCAGCTCCTTCTTGATGAGCTTCGGCTTGTTGGCAGTGGAGGACAGCCCCACATTGCGCTCAAGCTGTGCATCATTCTTGCTGACCTCCACGAAATGATGTGTTTCTGAAATAACTCTACTATCCACTGCTGTCGCATGCATCGATCGGGCACACGTCAAAGAATTCTGCTGCTTGGACACCTTCGCATTGCACTTATTGAACGTGTCCTCAACGATCTGGCCGGTAATGAAGCGCCTGGCCTGCTCCTTCACGTGCCTCTCCATCCCGGGGTGCTCGGGCGGGCAGGCGAGGGGGGGGGGGCGACGGGGCAAGCAAGGAGTGAGGCGTGCAACGAGACAGGCCGAGAGAAGACGCACCGCAGCACGGCCCCCCATGGCGAAACGCATGCACAACACAACCCGATGACCTGCACGGCGCGGGGGGGGGGGGCACGCCTAAACTTACTCCTGCACCTGCAAGCGCGCTGCAATTCAATGGGCAAGCACGGCGTGCAAGCGTCGAGCATTCCTTGGTGTCACGGCCCAGCCTTCCCTGGCCAAGCACAGGCACAACTGCTGGACCGATGCCTTGTTGAAAATGCTCCGCTTGGTCATCAAGCGGGCGGTGTCGCAAGCTGAACCCTCCAAGTCATCAAACAAATGCATGTCTGTCCTCAATTGGGCGATGAACGCTGGCGCATAAGTCGGGTCCAACAGAAGGATCTGCCTTCGCGGCAATGAATGTGTCAATACTAGATTTCTTCTGATCAGTTCCATTGATATACTAAACGACAGCTCGACAACCAAACCTGCAAGATAATCTGTCTGCTCAATCCGCGGATGTCCTACGCATGCGTCGCTCTCCGACCACTTCGTCTCGACCCCCATGCTTGCGAACCACTTGCGCATAGATGGCACCATCATAGATAATTGTTCGCACCTGCGCACCTCGCCTTGCATCATTTTCATCTCCCAGGTGGCGGGCGCGTCGACATCCCGCAGAGCTACACTTTGCCTCTGAGGACGTCGCCTAACCCTCGGGCCCCCTGCCCGCCACGGCCCACATATCTCGTGACTCCGTCTTCTCCCCCTCGTCCTCCTCCTCCTCCATCTCCTCGCTCCTCCCCTCGCTTCTTCCCCTCATCCCTCAGCCTCCTCCCCCTGTTCCTACTCCTCATCCTCCTCGTCCTCGCCATCATCACCCTGCTCGTCCCCCTCAGCCCCCTTCTCTTGGCCCCCCCCCCACCCGCCCCCCCCCCTCCTCCATCTCCGCCCCGCGCCCCCAATCCTCATCCCCATCCTTCCCCGCCCCCAACCCCCGCCCCCACGCGCAGACGAAAGAAGGGGATTCCAAGGGGGCGGGGGGGCGATGGCGCGGATGCGGGGAGGGGGGGCGGGGGGGGGGGGAGGGCGAGGGAGCGCGGGGGAGTGGGGTGTGAGAAACGGAGAGGTTTGGTTCCAAGGAGTGGGGCACGCGCCTGCTGTGCAGATTTGAAGTCGGCATCAATGTGCATACGATGGCCCTCTGAATGCGATAATTAATCGGATCCCCAAACAAATATGCTGCTTTGTCCAATTGGTTCTGGCACTGGATACCCCACCCCGCGAACTGTTGTTGTTTCAAGGTTAGCTTCTCCGCTGGAACTGCACCCTCTGCCGTGGGCTCCTTCAACGCTGGTGCCATCCTCCTGTCGATACCCTTGTGTCCTAAATACAATGCTGCAACATTCCAAAAATATGCTTTGAGCGCAAACCAACACAATGTCTTATTCGCAATGATAACGGGCTGTTGGTACTTGCCCATGTTGACACGACACCCTTTGCTCTGAAGAAGGCGATGCGATGGCAAATCGCGCCAGAATGCGTCAACCTTGTCGGGCGTGCTCAAGTCCACCTGTGGGAGGTCAGGCGGAAGGGTGGGAGGGTGGGTGGAGGCGTCTCGTCGTCGTCGTCGTGGTCGCTCTTGCGGTCGTCGTCGTCGCCGTCGTCGTCGTCGTCGCGCTCGCCCTAGGGCCCGCCGTCGTCGTCGTCGTCGTCGTGGCCACCGAATGGCGAGGGGGCAACTGCGGGAGGAAGCAGGGGCGCAGGCAGAGCACGGCCATATCAAGCGACGTGGACGGGCGAAACGACGCAAGCACCGCCAGGGCGAACTGCCCCGCGGCCCGAACAAGCGGCGACGCCGCCCCACATCCAATCGAGACCGCGAGGTCTGCGGAGCCGCCGAAACGAGCGGGGGTGGGAAGGGGGATGAGGGTGCCACTGCAAGCAAGCACAAGACAACCATTCGCTGTGGAATCGGGCGAAGCAGAAAACGGAAATGAAGGATGCCAAGAGTTGCAAATTGGAAGCATCATGCCTAAGACAAAAGAGCCCACCGATAGTTGTTCTTTCATGAGCGGCAAGTACAATTGGAAGAGCGCGTCCGAATCAACACTGTTGGACTTGATGTGCTCAGTGACAGCTCCGACAATCTGAGCAAGACGTGGCGGGGATAACGTAGACCCATATACACAATTTTGAGCAGCAACCATCAGAACTTGGAATTTGTAGAGACCAGTAGCCCTGGAGCGAGCGGCGCGCGCGCAAATGTCACTGGAACGGGCGAGCAGATTGCGCGCCGACCTCACAATCCTACCACGCGTGCTGCAGGCGCGTGCGATGCTCATGCATGGAACCATGCGAGTCTCACAACATGGACAAGCAAGAAAGCAAGCAAAGACAATAAAAGAGAACTCCTCAATGCTCCCTTGGACGCGTTCGACAGATAATGAGATATATCATATTCAGTCTGCATGTTCAGCCCCAACTCATACGTACAAAAATGATCACACGCGGTCATGTCTGGACCCGAGTCTGTACTCACGGATAAGTAAGGCCATTCAAAAGGGTCCCCCTGGAGAGACCCGTCATCTGGACTGCGTGGGATTTTGAACGTGGCCAACGTCATACAAGTGCTGTGGCGCAGCATGTTGTCGATGAAATGACACATCTGGAATGTTTTCAATCTGCGCCTTTTTTTTGGTCGAGCACAATCCTTAGCGCCTGGCGCTGCCACGTGGCCCAGCTTGCGTTTCACCACCGTCCTCTGGGCAGCGCGCGGCAAGCGGGCTGAAAGGGGGGGCGGAGGATAGAGGAGAGAGGGGGAGGAGGAGGGGAAGAAGCAGCAGCAGCAGCAGCAAGAGTAGAAGGACAGTGAGGGGGTAGAGGAAGAGGAGAGGAGGGACAGACGGGGCGGATGTAGAGATAGAAGAGAGGAGGTGAGAGGAGGCGCAGGAGGGGAGCGGGGTGGAGGAGGGGGCGGGAGATGAGGGTGAGAAGGGAGAAGGGAAGAAATGCGAGGAGCGGAAATTCGATGAGGACATGGAGCGAGGAGGATAGGAGGAGGGAGGAGGAGGAGGAAGAGGGACGACGGGGAGGAGGAAGAAGAGGAGAAGGAGAAGGAGGGGGGGAGGAGAAGGAGGAGGACGAGGAGAAGGGCGAGGATGAGGAGGAGGCGGAGAAGGAGGAGAGCAGGGGGAGGAGGATGAGGAGGAGGGGGAGAAGGAGGAGGAGCAGGAGTTGGAGTATGAGGAGGAGTAGTAGTAGGAGGAGGAGGAGGAGGGAGAGGAGGGGGAGGAGGAGGAAGATGAGGAGGAGGGGGACAAGGAGGAGGAGGAGGGGGGGGGATGACGGGGAGGAGCAGAAGGAGGAAGAGGAGAACGCAGATGAGGAGGAGGAGGAGAAGGAGGAGGAAGAGAAGGAGGGGGAGGAGGTGCAGGAGAGGGAGGAGGGGGATGAGCAGGAGGATAATGAGGAAGAGGGGGAGGGGGAGGAAGAGGTGCGGGAGAAGGAGGAGGGAGAGGAGGAATGAGGAGGGAGGGGGAGCAGGAGGAGGAGGGAGGAGGGGGGGAGGCAGGGAGGAGGAGTGAGGAGGAGGAGGAGGAGGAGGAGGAGAGGAGGAGAAGTAAGCAAGGGGCTGGGGGGGGGCCAGAAGCTGGCAGGGCGGGCACCGCGCCCTGCGATCCTGAAAATAGTGGCGCCTGTGGCGCTGCAGGTCTGCCAGCTCACCGTCCTCGACGAAACATTGGTCTCCGAGAACCTCAGTGGGCTCCTTGAGCGGGGGGGGCGGGGGGGCAGGCGGCGCGGGGGGGAGGTCCCTGACCTACGCCTTCTCCTCCTGGGCAAGCCTCCCCAATGCTCCGCTGCCTCCTCCGCCCGCCCCCCTCCCCCCTCTAGCCCGCCCGCCGAGCCCCCCCCCCGAGCTGCCGCGCGCCCCTCGCCACAGGCCCCCCCGCCCCTGCCCCTCCTCCGGCCCTCCCCCCCTCCCCCTCTCACCCAAAAGCCGCGACAGAGAGGGGCGGGGAAGAATGGGGGGGCCGACGGGGGTGCCGCAGCGCCCTGGAAACGCTTATTTTGGGAGCCCAGGGGGGGGGGGGTCGTAACCTGCAGTGGGTTGTAAGGTACAGGAAGTCTCGCGCGGGAACCCCACTCCGGCAAGCCGGGCCCCCCCACTACTGGTCCCGGCACCCAATCCCGCGGCCCGAAAATTCCTACATTTCCACTCGGAGGGAAGGGGTGCTGGAACCCGCGAAGGGACCCAAGAGCCAGCGGCCAGCGGGGCGAGGGGCGAAGGGGCGAGCGGGGGGGGGAGGAGCGGGCGAGGGCGGAGGAGGGCGAGCAGGACAGGAGAGGCGGGAAAGGAGGGCATGCGATGGTGGAGAAGGAGGAAGAGGAGAAGGAGGAAGGGAGGGTTGGGGAGAGGAGTGGAGGGGGGGGCATGCATATGGGCAGAGGGAGCGAGCGGCTGAAGGGGAGGGGGGGGGAAGGGGCAAGGGGGGGAAGGGATCGAAGAAACGGGCAAGGACATTATACAATCTGGCAAGGGATAGGGCGAGAGCGCGAACGGGGAAGGGCGGAAGGGGACGGGAGAAAGGAGAGCGAGCAGCGCAGGAGAGGAGGGGATAATCGATCAGGGGAAGGACGGGAGGGATGAAGGGAGGAGAAAAAAGTTAAGGAGAGGAGTATACGGGAGGGGGGGGGGCTTGGGCGCGGAGGGAGAAGGGGGCGCGGAGGGAGAAGAGGAGGGAGAGGAAGGGGGGGAAGCCATGGAGGAGACAGACTGGGAGATGCTACACCTAGATAAAGAGAGGGGCGAGAGTGAGAACGGTAGATGATAACAGCGAGAGTGGAGCGAGAATAAGAACCATAGCGAGCGTGATAGTTAGCAAGACACCGAGGGCGAGAGGCAGAGCAAGAGTGAGAGCGAGAGTGGAGCGAAGAGCGGGAGCGGGAGTGGGA